CTTTAAGATTGAAGGCTAGGATGTGTACTGCGCCGGTGTTAGCTCACTTTGACCCCACATTGAAGACCATATTACAGACAGATGCCTCGTTCTTCGGCTGGGGTTTCATAATTTCGCAGATTAATACAGCTGGGCAAGAGCACCCAGTCGCCATCGAGTCAGGCGCGTTCAATACGGCCCAACTAAATTACACGGTAGGAGAAAAGGAGTTCCTCGCCGTAGTTGAGGGTTTCAGAAGAAGAAGACACTTACTACTGCAGGTAGAAACCACGGTCCTTACCGACCATTTAAATCTCACTTACTGGATGGAACCGAAGCAACACAGCCCACGTCAAGGTAGGTGGGTAGAAGAGTTAGCTAACTTCAGATTTAAAATGGTTTATCGACCAGGGACTCAAGCAAGCCTTCCAGACGGGTTGTCTAGACGGGCGGATTATCACTCGGGAAAAGGAAGTACCATGATACAGGAGAGTAACCTTATTCAAGGTCTGCCGAAGTTCGACGAAGTTGACGCCACCACGTCGGAGTTGCGCCACCTCCTTCGAGCCTTGCAAGGGACAAGGGAAATGAAGGAAAAGGATCTTGTTGACCCTATGGATCTAATGCTTGGAGTACAGGAGGACGAAGACGTAGAGGAGGTTAGAGAGGAGTTATTAGGAGTTATCTGCGCTGAGTGTTCTCATCCGACGTGTCACGATGATGTACAGGAACCAGGATCAATCACCGAACTACGCCGTAGTTCGCGATCTCCTCTAATACTTCGTGGGGGGTGGACCCCGAGAGGTTTCCTCACATTCGACGATCGCACTTATGTGCCGAACTACACCGACGCTCGACTAAAGATCATGAAGATGCGACATGACTCGGCTTTGGCTGGTCACCCAGGTTCGGCGAAGACCCTTGAACTAATCCTAAGGGATTATGTTTGGGTTGGAGTAAGGAAGGATGTAGAAGACTATGTCGCTGGTTGTGCGGTATGTCAGAGAGCTAAGACTAACAGACAGAAGCCTCATGGAGAACTTAAACCCCTACAAGTAGCGACAAAACCTTGGTCAAGTATCTCGATGGATTTCATCGAAGAGCTCCCAAATTCCCATGGATATAACTCTATCTTAGTGGTCGTGGATCGACTGACAAAATGGGCCATGTTTATCCCAACCACGACGAAGTTAACCGCAGCTGGACTATCGGAGCTGATAATGGATTATGTGGTGGCCCAGCATGGGTTACCAGAGAGTATAGTATCAGACAGAGGATCGAAGTTTACTTCGAAGTTTTGGAAGAACTTGACCGATAGTCTCGGGATAAGACTACATCTTTCTACCGCGTATCATCCACAGACTGATGGACAGACCGAACGAACGAACCAGTCCCTGGAATTATACCTTCGAATCTTCACTTCCTACCAGCAGAACGACTGGTCGAAGCTACTTGCCCGAGCTAGCTTTGCTTATAACAACACCCATCATTCCGCGATAAACAAGACCCCATTCTATGCGAACTATGGGTACCACCCTCGATGGGCTGAAGAGATTAAGGCTAGTGAAGTCGAGGTACCTGCTGCTACAATAGCAGTAAAAGACCTAACTGAAATACATAAGGAATGTATTGAGGGGATTGAGAGAGCTAATGAGAAGTACGCCGAAGGATACAATAGGAAACACCGAACTACGCCGAACTTCGTGGAAGGTGACCTAGTGATGCTGTCATTAGAAAATATCAAGACTAAGAGACCAATGAAGAAGTTGGACGTTAAGCAAAGTGGGCCGTACAAGGTAGTACGGCAAGTAGGTTCTCATGCTTGTAAACTGGAATTACCAGGAACGATGGCAGTATCCATGATGTATTCCATGTTTCTTTACTCCGTCCCTATCACCCTCCGGTATTTCCTGGTCAGCAAGCTGAACCACCTGGCCCACGACACCGAACAAAGTGAGGATCATCATCATCATCCTCACTTTCTTCGGTGTCGGGTCGATCACTCGACTCCGAGCCCCCACTGAGCGAGTCCTGGTCGGAGGAGGACGGAGACTCACCAGGACGAAAGGCGGGCGTCCTACGGCGAGGAGTGGCGGCAGGAGGAGGCCCTCCAGGAGAACCCGTTACGGGGACGGGAGGACCAGACACGGGGGAGGGAGAACCAGCGGAGGGAGAGGCGGAGCGAGGGGGCGAGGCAGCGCCAGACGGCTCCCCCAGAGAGAGAGTGCCGAGGCCG